GTGTGCGCGCGCGCGCATGTATGCACGCACATGTCCGCCAACTGGTTACGCTGTAAGTGATGAATCTTTTATGGTGTTCCCTTGCTTCACATGGGCTTCACCTGTGCAGCACTGAAACATGGCCTGTGTGTGTGTGTGTGTGTGTGTGTGTGTGTGTGCGTGTGTGTACCTGCCTTCGAAGTTCTCGGCTGTCGGACTTGTTAAGCGTTGTCGTGCAAATCGACTGATGTCGATCTTATTGAAGTGAATTGACTTTGGTTCGAAATTTTGGTGACCAGGCCGCGGTGTACTCCATCAGAGCTGTTTCAACACTTTTGATTAATGATTATGATTATTACAAGATCTCGTTCAGAACTAGTTTGTAACCATTAATCAAAAGTGTTGACACAGTTCTGATGGAGCGGCCTGGTCACCCCCACAATTTAAAAAGCAGAATTCCTAACCAAAGTCAATTCACTTCAATAGAACCGGCATTCGTGAATTCGCTCGACGAGGCAAAACAAGTCCGTGCTGAGCTTTTACGTTGAGTTCAACTTGGGCGATGTATGACACGCGAATGTGTGCTGCTGACAAATTGCAAACCGTTTTGACAGAGCTGACCTTTGAAGGGAACAGAGAGCTGGAGGGTCCAAACTCGAACAAGCTATCATATTTCCATCAAACCTTATACAACCCTGCTCTGCTGAAGTACAAGCTGCCCCACAAAGAGACGCATGGTGCGCAGGCACTTGACAGACACGAGCAGGAATACGCTGATACAAATACGTCTCTTTAAAAAGGGTGTGTTAACTTGTTATCTGTTTCGGGACTAAGCTAACTAGCTTGTTGTCCACTGAGCTGATCAGCTAAAGTAGCCCACCTGTAGTAGTAGGGACATTGTAACATGTAAAAAGTAGGGACACACACAATGCTTTTTGGGGCAGTTATACATCCCCATGTGACATTTTCACTAACTAAAAGATGTTGAGGTGTCGGTCAGCATGACAATAAACAGGATGACATTGACGATGAATCGTGATGTGTTAGTTGGTGTAAAAAAAAAAAAAAA